CCCGTCTCTCTCTCTCTATCCTCATCTTCTTTTTTTTCTCACTTTCTCTTTGTTTGCTACCCTTTCTCTCCGAGAAGCCAGAGACTGCTACTTAGGTATATATATTATTATCAGGAAGCCCTCTACCAAGTACCCTGTAAAATTTGTTTTCGCTGCCAGAGTCCAGTCAGGCATAGCAAGAGGAGGGCTTGGAACAACAATCTAAACTCTGCCGCTCCCCTGTTTTAACCTCCCTTAATTTCCTCCTTTCCCCCTCTTTCAACATGGATTTTTTTCAGACTGCATTTCAAAGCCCTTTCTTTCCTGCCTTGTGTAGGTTTAACGTTTGTCTGTCTTACTTGAACGCCTCTTTATAACAGTATGATGAGAATGCCTGTTTCAAATTTATCCATAAACCAGCCCCCCCCCCCCCCAGTTTCTTTTATAAAAATAGTATCTTATGCTTACCAGTTTCTTTTATAAAAATAGCATCTTATGCTTACTTAGACAACGCTTCCAAGCAGATGGTATTGTTTTACTCGGAGCAAGTGTTAGACAGAGTTAAAGACTTGGCTGAACTAGTACCCTGTAAAATGGGTTTTCGCAACCAGGCGTGTGGGCTGTGCGTGCCAACTTCCCTGAACTGAAATTATGGGAAAACAGTTACGGCTGTGCACTCTCTGGTGAGGTTCTTTCTTTGTTATTCTTATCCGGTTTTCATCTCAGCTGTGCATAAACGTGCTCTTCTTTACGTAACTTTCACAATATTGTGTGTGTGTGTGTGTGTGTATGTGTGTGTTTGTGTGCGTGTGCATTCATGTGTGTGAGTGTGTGTGTGTATGTGGTTGTGTGTGTGCGTGTGTGTGTGTGTGTGTGTGCGTGTGCGTGAGTGTGTGTGTGTGTGTGTGTGGTTGTGTGTGTGTGTGTGTAGGGGTGTATGTGCTGGCCTATATGTAAATATATAGGCTGCCAGTCAATCGGGTTTGTGAACAGGAGAGAACATGAAGGAACAACGGTAGATAGAGGGTCGAAATGAAACTGATAATTCTATATACACACCACGCATATACAAACACATAAAAGCAAGTGTGTGTATTCACTCTCAACAGCTCAACCCCTCCCCTGCTTCTCTCTCTCTCTCTCTTCTCTCTCTTCTCTCTTTCTCGGACACACACAATCACACATCCAAATACCGAAAAAAATACCCCAAAACGAAACACGCACACACACACACACACTCACTCTAGACTACCTCTTCTATCTTTCTCGCACACACACCCACAATGTCACACATTACAGATACACACACATAAACACAATCCCTCCCCCCCCCCGTCCCACCCAAATTGCTCGGAGGGATACCGTGTTGCTCAGGTTCCAGACAACCAGAAAGCCTATACTTATACACAAGAGGTGCTCCTGACTCTGTGCCAACTGAGTCAGACCGGAATGCGGAAGGAAGGACAAGGAAACGTCTCTCTGACTGATGCAAGGGGAGTGTGAGAGGAACTCCTTCTTGTTCTCGGAATTGTTACTTTATTTGTTGGGAGTAATTTGGATACAAATCAAATTTACACGGGGTGGGGTGGGGGGTGGGGTGGGGTGGAGAAGAAGTGGAAGGAGAAGAAAGAGGATAGATAATGATGATGATATTGAGAAGAAAAAGAAGAAGAAGAAGAAGAAGAAGAAGAAGAAGAAGAAGAAGAAGAAGAAGAAGAGGAAAGTAAGAAGAAAAGAAAAGAGGAAAGTAAGAACAAAAGAACATTACGACGACTTCGAAAATGATTCTCGTCTTCATTGCTTCAGTGTGGTTTCCCTACCAATCAACAAGCATGTCAACATACAGTTAAGTCGATCTCAAAATGTTCTGTTAGAATCCCTGACAAATGATTCCCCAAACTCATACTCGTGTACAAAAATAGGCAGCTCTTACAGAAACATAAAGTCTTTCCGATTATTAATATTGAATCAACATGCATCAGTTACTCTCTCCAAGCAATCAATCAATAATATCTCCGACATTAACATAATATGAAACCAAATTATATCGAAAGATATCATTTCGGTTAATTCTTTTTACTCCCCATTACTTTTTATGAAAAGAGAAGCTATATAACTGGTCACTGAAATTTGGTTGTTCTGATGACAGAGGGTTATGAACTGGACAGGTGTGTTGTTTGTTTTTGGAAATGCTTATTTTTAATAAAAGGTACACACGCACCGAGAAGATCCACTGTGTTCGTGTGTGTGTATGTGTGTGTGTGTGTGTGTGTGTGTGTGTGTGTGTGTGTGTGTATGTGTATTTGTGTGTGTGCATATGTGTGCGTGCGTATGTACAAGCGTGCGTGCGTGCCTGCTTAAGTACGTATATGTATTCGCGAGAACGTATTTCTTTAGATCTAAGCAATAACGAGAACCATTCTATTAGAATCTATTTCTGTTCAGAACAGATCTTGATATTTCTCCCTCCGACATAAAAACACGAATGTTTACGGCGCTGTGCGCTCTCGTAAATTCCCTGGCTATTTTCTTGAGCTACTGACATTTCATACTGCTCGACTGCACTTTGTACATATAGTGAAGCAATCAGACATTAGACAATAATAATATAACTAAGGTTATTCTGCTTCGTTTAGTTTTTAGTTTAGTAGGCGTTTCATGGCATTTGAAATACAAATCGGTCATAAGTGCCGTGGATTAAAGATGTTATATTAGAGTAGCAAACACAAGAAAGAAGGAGAGATGAGGACTACAGATGCTCAACGTGAGAGAAGGAGCAAAGGACACCAGAGCACCTGCCAAACACCAACAATAATGTCTGCAACGTGTTTCATAAATAGAAGAAGATACTAATAGTCTGTTAAAATAAATGACTAAAGCCTAACTTGTGACTGAGTCTCTTGACTAGCCACTCTGAGAACGTGGAAGAAAAACAAGGTGCAGTTGTTGTGAAACTTTAAATAACAATCTTTTATCATGTTTACTTGAGTATGTTCTTTGCTTTTCTTTCACAACACCTTCTAGCAAACAGCAAAAGCTTTCATTTCTTATATCATAATTTTAAAAAATTGACTTGTAGTAACGGCATCATTTTACAGGGTATGTAATAATGTGTAGATCTAGTATGTAGTAGGAAGATTTAGTGTTCTACTCACCCCAAAATACCGGCTATACCGAAGGGTCCTGGGCAAGAGAGAATGGAGGGAAGAGTGAGGTGTGGAGCTGAACGTCACTGCACGTGCATGGAGAGCCAGTGTTGGGGTGAGGGCGCCACGGGCAGGTGAGGGGAGGGTCGGGAGTGAGGGATGGGGTGAGGTGTGGAGTAGAAGTTGGGGAGGGGGAGAGCTGAGGGGTGAGTTTGAGA